CACACCTGATTTATAGCCATTTCCTCCTTTAGTCCATCTTGCCAGCTGCCACCTGGCTAGTTTTCTGAAGCCCTACTATTACCTTATTTATGTTGGCAGTCGGTGGTGGTATTGGTAAATCACATTCCCTATTCTTCTCTATCAATTCTAAATCATTTGGGAAATAGTCAACAGTAATGGAGATCCAGTTATCGGCTTTATTATTGATAAGCTGAATTAAAGAACTTCCATTGGCTTGTGGCCAGAATCAGGCTTCTGGTTACTCCCTCAGTTGCGTTTATCCACTAGAACTGCAGAAAATCACTGAATGACAGGAGAGAACGCTGGGCCATGGATGCTATTCCTTTTCCCAGGATTGCCAGTCGGGTATGTCTCCAGTCAGATAAGTGAGATGAGTTTGAAGGACAGAAATTATGTTTCCAGTATTGTTCCCTCATTAAGAATAAAACATGCTTTTCCTTATGAAAACATGGGGATAGGGAAATAGTTTTCCCTCTTACAACTTATACCTGCTTAGAAACTTCTGATTGTTCCTCTTGCCTCCTGATTGTTCCTGTTGCCGCCAGGACAAAATCCAGACTCCTTTTTCTCTTATTCATACTTTTTGGGGTCTGACATCTGCCTGCCTTTCCATCTCTGGCAACAGACCTCCCAGCTAGATTAACTCATTAGCCCTTAGAGGTACTTGACTCATTTCTCCTTTGGATTGCTCTTGCTGTTTCTCCCAGTCATTATGTCCTTTGTCCTTCTTCCAGTATCTGTTCCATTCTTCGGGTCTGAGTGCAAGTCCCAGTTCCTCCACAGAGCTTACCCAAACCAGTGTGCCTGTGTGTCCCCTCTGAACCTGCCCTTTGTCATTATAAATCATAGACTTTAAGGGCTGGCCGGTTGGCTCAGTTGGTTAGAGTACAGCCTTGTAATACCAAGGTCAAGGGTTTGGATCCCTTTACCTGCCAGCCACCAAAAAAAAAAAAAGTCATAGACTTTAGACCTGGGAAGGCTAAAAGAGATTTGGTCTAATGCTGTTGTATTATAGTCAGGGAAATGGAGACTCACAGAGAAGTGTCTTGTCTAGGGTCATTTACTGTGGCGTGTTGTAAACTCAGACTTCCTGATTCCCGGACTTGTATGTTTGCCTTTGTAGCAGGCCACCTTTCAGTCATTAACTGTGGTTTTCATGTGTGTATGACTTGTCTCTTCAACAAAAGTTAAGTGCCCTAGGTCAGGACCATTATGCCTTTGTCTTTCATGTACCTAGGGGCCTAACACCAGAGAGATTTGTCATGTTTGTGCATAATATTTTACTTGTACGTATATAATTTACTTCTATTCCAAGAACAAATAGATAGAGCTCTTCTCCCTGAAAATAGGACCCATGTGAGATATCTTATAACTCCCATTGTTAATTGAGAGTAGGTGGTGTCTCCATTTTATAATCAAAGAAATGAAAGTTTAAAAATTAAGTAACTTATCCGAGTCACATAACTAATGGGCAACATTGTCAGGATTTGACTACAGGTTCACCTGACTGTAACTCCCCCCTGCCCCCTACACACAGGCTTTATTGTTTCTTTATGCCTTGCTAGGGAAGGTCAGGAATGGAAATGGAGAGATTCCAGTGTCAGAGAAAATGGTTTTTTATTTGTAGGAAATGGCCCCTCCTCTATAGAAGTCAGTTTGCTTTCTTCATCGTATCCTTTCAAGGACTAAAAGGGCTCCAGCTTTTTCCTGTGCTTTTTCATTTTGCATTTGAGAGGCAGCAAACAGACCATTAATCGTGACTCCTTTCTTAAGTAGGTGATAGGTAGAGTCTAGAAAATATTCCTTTTCAAGGATGATATTAATAGTGATGAATATTCATTTAATGCTTAGGGGATAAGAGCCCAAAACTCCCATGTAGGAGAAGACATTTTTTATTTAAACCATCCTCTCTTTCTCTCTTTC